GAAATAGAGTACCTGAAGGAGGGAGTCGACCGCAACCGCAAGCTGGTAGGTCGTATCCTAGAAACCCTTCAGACTCTACAGGGCATACAGGTGTGGGCGGAGCGCGAGGCGCAGGACATGCGTTAAAGAATACGAGAGCTGGAGGACGGAATGCATGAAATGGCCAATGCAGCCCTTTCTTCACAGCATGACTCGATTCAACCGCGCTCCAGACGTAATGTGAACTTTCAGGACACATTCACCTGTTACTACGATTCTGGGATTCCGGGAAGCACACCGGCTCCTCCAAGACCAGTACCCAGGAGAATGGACGTCACGCCACCGGATGCCCTCCAAAGAAAAAGAGGTGAAGATGATCCAGAAGAGAACGGGAGATCCGCACCTGTTCGACAGAGGAGTCGAAGCGGATCCTCTGGCTCCGGACCTTATTTATCCTCAGAGCTCTCCACAACCCGAGATGTTAGGAAAATTGTCCAAGGATGGAAATTGAGGTTTGCGGGTAGTAGGGAACAGAGCGTGGACACGTTTCTGTTAAGGTTGGAAGACCTGCGCGTGGGCGCAGAATTAACTGATGACGAAGTGCTTTGTTCCGTGTCAGAGATCCTCGAAGACAACGCGAGGATCTGGTAAGATAACAATAAGTACCAGTGGCTCAGTGACGCGGAATTCATCGCCAACGCCCGGTAATGGTTCGGCACAAGTACGCAACAGCATCAAAGGCTGTTGTAGGAAGCACAGCACCGATTTCAGGGTGAAGACGAATTGGCTAGAGACTTCGTGTCCAACCTGGTGGCTCTTGTTAATAGATTGGAATCACCAATGCCCTTGGAGTGGTTATTAGACCTACTTCATACAAACCTCCTTCCGAACATCCAGATACAGCTGCGGCGGAGTGAGTTGATGTCAATACGCGAGCTTAATACGAGGGCAACCGAAGTACAAAACACTTTGTCTTACGGTCGTTATCCACGCGGATTTACGGATCCAAACTCGACGATCTTCTCTCAGCCCGCCTACCAGCCGAGCAAAAGAACGGCTGGTAAGAAATCCCAAATCGCTGCAGAAGCCAGCGAAGGGAAGACACGTGCGATGAAGGAGAGAGATCCATATCGCGGACAGAACCCTGCCAGGAGGTCTACCGAGCAAGAAGGGTATCGGCTACGTAATCCTTCACTTCTGATAAGAAGATGGAGGAGCGTCTGGAGGGTATTAAGATAATCGGACTGAATGTGACCAGGGCGGGCGACGCAAGGCTTGCTGATGGGCGCCCATTCTCCATCATTGGTCACGTGATGTTCCTCTTTAAGGTAGGGGGCATCACATATGGAAGTGGCTGGAATTGATGGTATGGCATTTCTCGCACCGGCCGGACTGTGGGAGGCCACGGAAACACAGCTTAAGGAAATCGAAGACCTTCTCAGAAGATTGATTCCAGACGGAGGAAAGGCTTTACGCTGTGCCGTGGAGGTTAAGCACGTAATAGATGTTGGAGGTGCTCGACCCATCAAACAGAACTATTACGCAGTTTGAGATAGGATGCGAGAGGAAATGTATACGCTGGTCAAAGATATGCTGAAAAAAGATTTAATGGAACCAGCGACCATCGAATGGTCAAGTCCAGTGGTGATGGTAAAGAAGGCTGATGGAAAGTATAGGTTTTGCGTGAATTACCAAAAGGTAAACGCAATAACAAAACCAAATGCCTACCTTTTACCATATATGAAAAACATTTAAGATGGATAAGGGATGCAAAATTCATATCCACGATGGACTTGAGTAGTGCATATCATCGAATTCCCCTAAAGGAAGACTCGCGTCTGATATCGGCGTTTACAGTACCTAGATTGGGGCACTTTCAATTTAAGAGAATGCTCTTCGGACTGTCATATGCAGGAGCGACCTTCCAGAGGTTGATAGATAAGTTGATAGGCCCGGATATGGATCCATTCGCTTTAGCTTACCTCGACGATATAATTGTGGTTTCGACATCATTCGAGGAGCATAAGCGGCACCTACAAATGGTATAAAGAGAATTCTAGGTGCGGGCCTAACCATCAACTAAGCCAAAAGTCACTTCTGTAAGACGGAAGTCAGGTACTTGGGAGTTCTTGTAAATCAGGACGGAGTAAGACAAGATCCCGAGAAGATAAGCCCGATACTAGAGTATCCAACACCCCGGACTGTCAAACAGTTTAAGTGATTCATCGGAATGACGTCGTGGTATAGACGTTTTACACCCGACTTTGACATGATCGCTGAAGCTATAAACTGTCTGACGAAAAAGAATATACGTTCCTCTTAGGAGAAGGAGCAAGAGCGAGCTTTCACGAGGTTGCAGGAGGCGATGACTTCCGCCTCAATACCGCAACCATCCGATACTAGCGGTCAGTTTGTACTACAAACTGACGCCTCTGACAGTGGGATCGAGCGGTCCTCACGCAGAATGTCGATGGAGAGGAGCGTGTGATAGAATACGCTAGTCGATCACTCAACATGCTGAGAGGAATTATACAGTCTGAGAGAAAGAGTGCTTGGCAGTGGTATGGGCCATTTGAAAGTTCCGGTCGTACATTGAAGGACATCACTTCAGGGTCATCACTAATCATAGTTGCCAGAAATGGCTTCACAGTATGAGAAATCCCACGGGAATACTAGCGTGGTGGGCGTTAGCATTGCAAGGCAATGTCTTTGATATTGAATATCGAAGGGGAGATCTCAATGTGGTGCCGGACGCATTGTTTAGGGCCTATACGAAGGAGAAGATTGAAGTGAGTGCCATAAATAGTAGGTCGGAGATCACTAATGCCTGGTATTTGCAGCAATACGAGGAAGAATGACAAGACCCACACTCGTACCTCACATGGAAGTTAGTGGGGGGAGGCTGTATCACTATCAGCCTGATGAGTACGGTGAAGGGTCCATCGACAACGATGAAGCGTGGAAGCTTGCGGTACCTAGGGAGAAAAGGCACCAGGTGCTCCAGGAGGTTCATGATGCAATTACGGCAGGGCATCAAGGACGAGCTCGTACGTTCTCCAGTGCTAGACGCTTGTACTACTGGCCTAAGATATATAATCAGGTCAGGGAGTACGTATAGAGTTGCCCGGTATATCAGCAGTGCAAGGTGGAACAAAGGGCACCTAGGAGGCTGATGGGTCGTAGACAAATGTCACAATCCTAGTAGGTGGTGGTCGGTGATATCACTAGCCCATTCGCCAAAAGCTCTTGAGGTTTTGAGTACTTCCTAGTCTTTGTAGACCATTTTATTCGCTGGGTAAATCGCGTTGCGATACGTAAAACCAATTGGGGGACAATCGCAAAGGAATTACACGAGAAGATTGTCACTAGGTTTGGCGCGTTAAAGGTATTCTGTCGGATAACGGAACCGAATTCAAGAATCAGGAAGTCGATTTATACCTCCAGATGAACGGTGTCCAGCGCGCCTTGACTCCTGTGTATCATCCGCAAGTGAATCCCACAAAGCGAGTAAACAGGACGCTCAAGACCATGATCACGTCGTATGTGAGCCGTGATCATAAGAGCTGGGACGAGCACCTGTCAGAGTTCAACTTCGCGTTGAACTCGGCAACTCATAGCGCCACTGGGTATAGTTCCGCAATGCTCATCTTTTGGCGTCAGCCGGTACCTCCTTTGACGTTCAGAAGATCCCAAGATCAGCAGGCCCTTGAGTGTTCGGAGGGTCAAGCTGTGGTAGATTGAGCTGAACATATGGAGAAGCTAATTTATGGGAGCGAGCCAACTCCAAGTCAAAGTAGGAAGCGGCGCGTCAGGCGGCTTATTACGACCGGAAGCGACGGCAACCCGAGTTTAAGGTCGGAGATTGGGTATGGCAGAGAAACAGGATTCTCTCCTCGGCTGCTCAAGGCATTTCAGCCAAATTGGCGCCGAAATACGCCGGTCCGTACGTGATTGAAGAGGTTTGCAATTCCAACACGTACAGACTGGGAAATCAGCTAGAGATCCTGCCCGAGCTCTTCCATGCCAAGGACTTTAAGCCGTATTACGGTCCGGGGGGAAGAGGAAAGCGTAGAAGCGACCGTCATCGATCCTCGCGAGCCGCACGAAGAACGGCTATTGGAGGCGAACGAGTCCGCGAAAGCGTGCAAAGATCCGAGGGGGGGATTTGTCGAGCGAGCGGATCAAGTTAGCTCTTAGTCTAAATACGGTAAACGGACGATTATGAAAGCCAAGGAATGAATTGTCAATGCTGTGATTTTCCGTTACAAGATAAAATTATGATATGGCTTTGATATAGCTTTACTAATACCATAATACATCAAGTTAGATTCGGCTGGTCATCAAAGAACCAATAATACTTCTTAAGGGTCTAGCTGCTCCCATTCCATATCTCAGTATGTAAGAGACCATACTTTTTTCATCTAGTGATGAAATAAGCCCTTTACCGCTAATTTTTGAAACCGAATGTCGAAATTTTACTGCGTGTTAAAACAAACGATCACATTTTGATTTTTTAACTTGATTATAAAAGGTGCCAGTAAAAGAGAGTAGAGAAGTTATTTCATCACTAGATGAAGTGACTATAAGACTCTAAAATTTTTAGTTGTTTAACATCAAGCAGTTATGCGTTGAGGAATCTAATCTAACAGTGTAAGAACAAATCATACTAATAATGACTAATAATTTTTCAAATTTCATTTCTGAATTTCACAAACCAAACAAGCAAAATAATTGATAATAATTTAGTTCACTGTATTTAATTTTTTAGTGATAAGTTAGTAAGATAAGATTAATTTTTTATTTTAGATTAAATAAATGTTAAATATCATTATATATTGTAAAAACATATGATTTAATTTTGATCAACTTTCTGTCAAATCAAGAGTGCATATGTAATATGTATGAAAACTCGATGAAACAGCTGTAAATTAGAGAATTTACATGAAATATATTAGACATGTATATGTTAAAATAAATTGGAATGAAAATATACGTTGATCTGATAAAGTAAAAATTATTACCTGTCTGCATCTTCGCCAAGAAGGGTAATCACAGCAGAATCTGCTAATGTAATGGCAGGAGCAGCAAAGAACTCGCCAACAATAACAAGTAGCAATAGAAGGAAAAATGTTTTCTGTATATCCTAAAAATGGATAGGGTGATATGAGTGTGTGTACAAATTCATTTCAGAACTTAAAATAAACAAATAATTAAAATAAAACATCATATTTTCCTGATATTTTCTTAATTTCTCTTTCTATATTTCATACAAATATTTTTGTTGATATATTTATCTGTCTTAGAAATCATTACGTTTGACAGACTTTTTTCATCGTCTTTTTCTCCTCACAGTATATAAAGACGAATAAAGAATATTAAAAATTTCTTTAAATTTGATGAGATAATTTGGATTTCGAATTCATATTATCAGTAACAAAAGCATTTTCGCAACTTTCCTAGTCTTTATGCCAGCAAAATAGCTATTCCTACTAGTAGATATATTCATAAAAACGGGTTAATCCAACTTATACATTTTTGCACCGAGACACTCAAAATATTGTCAGTTTTTGAAAAATGTACATCATAATTAAATTGGTATATTACATACAATTGAGACAAATATCAGTAAGAAAAATTCAAGGTATTCAAAGTGAATATTATCAAATCTGAATGCCTTAATTGTCACAAGAAAGAATGTTTGAAAAAGAACTAATTAATATATTAGTTACTGTATATAATGATTGTAAAGTACTCTGGAATAAATAAATATTGCAGAAAAGGTTATCTAGGAGTTACGGATTCAAAGATAGAATCATCGGCACTGAAACAAAAGGCCAATGGTTAGTCGCACTCTTATTGTGAGCCTAGCGCTGGCCGGTATTGCCGAGAACAGAAGAATGAGGAAGAGAGGCTAACGAAAAACAGGCTTACTGCCTTTTCTCGTCACATAGTACGAATAGTAGTAATAGGTTCAATTAATTAATACATCGGAAGTCGGATTTCCTACAGAAAATTCGTTGTAACGACTGCCGTCGAAGTTCAATTGCTCGTACATTCAGATCTTACAATTAACGCGAATCGCAATTTTTTTATTTAACTATAATGAGTACACGAATATTAAAAGAATTTTTAATAAGCAAGATATTTGTAGTGACGGCAAAAAGTAAATAGTGCCTTACGACCCAGCCGTTTAGAAGAATAATATTGAAATAATTGAAAGTAGCGATATTGAAGAAAGTGTCAACAAAATAACGCGGTTGCACCTGCCTGTACAGTATGTCGCGAATTTAGTCCTGAAATTCGACGGAGAAAACATATTAGTAAATGAATACATCGAATTCAATACAATAATGAAGTTTACAAAGCTTTAGCGAATATGAAAATTAGTAAAATCGCATACTTCATTAAAGCCACAAGGCAGCTTTTTATTTTTTTCTATAATATTAACAGTTTATATGGGCAGTTTAAGGAAATTATTCAAAAATCAAATGAAACAGTTTTAACGTCTGGAAATCATTATTAAGATTTAGTTTTACAAATCAAAGAAATAAAAAAATTAATAGTTAAGGCGAGAAAAAAGGGAACTCGCGTTAAACAAGTGTGACGGGCGGAACGACCGTTGAGTTCGCTCGCCCTGTTCGCCTCTCTCTCTCTCTTCCGCGTGCCTTTCCCTTCGCTGCTGCCACATCGGTCTTGGTTGACTCGAATCGAGTATCGATGCACAATGTGGCTCTGTTTTAGGTTTGGTTTCTGATCGGCGAGTATGCTTTGCACTAGAAGGACAAAAGGAGAGCGGGAAAACGAAAAAAGAAGAGAGAGAGAAATAGTGTCGCCGGAAAATGCGAGATCACGAGGGCAGTACGGCTTTGACCAGCGACGTCATTATTAGCTGGAATAGCCTCGCGACAAAGTGAAGGTGTGTGAAGCGCGTGATCACTAGCTCTTATAAGAACTACACCAGACATTGGAGAAGAGGACCAACTGCATCGTGACCAATCAGTCCACCTTCTTCGAGGACAGCAGTCGAGCTGACGGACGTGAGCTTCCACTACTGCGCTCTCTCCTAAGGTCAGATACCCTTGTTTCTTTTCTTGGTGCGCGCTTCGATTTCTCTCTCTCTCTCTCTCTCTCTCTCTCTCTCTCTGGGCATCGTATCGGCCGGACGCGGACGAGTGGTTGCGTGCGCAGAATTCGTACTGAATCCACGGGAACTCGCGGGACAATATTGTAATGCGATGCATTGTCTCCTGTGCGTTAATTCGCACGAAACAGACTAGCCCGGACTTTGCCTGACGCACAAGTCAAACGCCCTGGATGTAAATAATTCGAATAAAAATGTAATTGACCATTCAAGAAATGATTTTATATAACCTGTCTCCCTCTTAGAGTTAGAGAAATCGCGACTATTGATATTGCCGAGTGACTAAAGCTTTCATTAATTTTTGCGACGAAGCGATTACGCCTTCCGGGCCTTTCCCCTTAAAATAATCTGTGACGCGACGTTATTTGGGCTTATTCCGACGCGAAAGTTGGAAAATATAAACGAGCATGTTACACAAGCACACCAAAAGAAACAGTTCTTACTACGTCCACGTCGTTGTTTCTGGGTAACGATAAAAGTAAGATAAGGGGCAACTGTAAAATAATATTTTACCCCTAATAAATTAGGGGTTCTCATTAAAAAAATCAGTATGACCTTCACATTTTCTTGAAAACTGACCTCAAGGTCAATGTGCTCAGGACAATTGGCTTATAAGCTCACTTAAACATTACTCATGTACAATCCTGAAAAGCTGATAGAAACCGGCTTTTATAAAATTTTTTCAGTATTTAACCTTGATTTGAACTTGATAGGACTTTCTAAAATTTACTTGATATCATTTTGGACGTAAAATTTCCCGCTCTTATAAAATTAAGTCAAAAATAAAGGTTCTCATTTGTTGTCCCCATTGTCCTGAACAATTTTTGTCGTTCGTCATTTATAATGAGCCACCCAGTCGATGAGAGTAATATATTCATGCAGTGTAACAGGTATAACTCCGTTGCAATTCAAATCGTACTCTGGTTGGAGACTGGTGAGTGGAGCAGAGCGCAGGCGCGACGAGCGCTGGATGACGGAAGGAGATACTGTTATACTTATACCAGATAGTAAACAAGCGCATTCTAAGTAGTCGAGCTGTCCACGTGTAAGACGACAAAGTGTCTGTGAACGCTCCGAAAAAGCTCGTGTGTGCTTTCGACGCCAGATCGTTTTCTGTCTGTCTCAGTTTCAAGGAACAAGCCGGTGACATAATCGTCAGCAAGCCTATTTAGCATCAGCTTGCAGCAATAGCCCACTTGTGCTTCACTATTCCAGCTCCTGAGTCGTGTATTTGACTGCATATTTCGTCGAAACGTCCTGCGGACTAGTCAGCAAATGATCTTCAGGATAATTGCATAAGCAAATTTTGCGTATATGATTTTTAAATCCACGGTAAGCGAGTGCGAATTTTCTCTTTTACGTACGCTTGACCTGAAAAGTTACTTGTAAGTTTCGTGTCATCTGTACACCACTACCTAAAGGAAGGGAGCGCATTTTCTTCACTATTCTATAAAGCCTAGATGCTTCTACAGTATTCTACGAATCGAATCGTCCTTTTAACTAGCTTTACTTCTTACCCATTTCCTTATCGAATCCAGCCAGCCACTTTACGAACGCGTGAACGTATCTACTATAAAAAGAACAACACTTCGTGAAACGCTACGAACGCTAAACATAAACAAAACCTTGCATACATTCGAGAGAAAGAATCGTATTATTAGGCATACGTAAGAATTACAACTCGTGTATATATTGCGCCAAGTTAATCGAGGTTGCCGTTTAATATAACTTGTTGCTAGAATAATAAAATTTCTGTACCATCTCGGGCTAGAAAAATAACACTGACAAAAGAGTGTTACGTCCCAAGCAAGCCAGACATCAGACACTGATATGTTGCCGAAGTAGCAGTTTGCGAGTGACCTTTACTTTTTCTCACGCAAACGGCTAACTGCGCGGTTCATCGCGATCAGCAACTTCGGTACGAATCGACCTCTAAATGTACATGTAAGCCGATGCCGTTTCCTGCGGAGAATGGAAATCGCGTATAGCTTTCCGTCTAATTGCGCTTTGACAAAAGCACGTCGCGAAGGCGGGAGAGACAGTTCTCTTCTTTCACGCTTTCGCTGAATGGAATATGCAACGACTCGCGAAGCTGATTAAGCAATTAGCCCATTGGCCGGTGACATTGAATATGTCAATGGGCGGGTCATCGTGAAGCTTTTTCCTCGATTGCAGGAGGACTTGCGACATTCGGTAACCGACAGTGAAGTAGTAAGGACGTGCGCGTAAAGTCTAAGTAAAATATGTCGAATCTTTAAAATTAGAAAAGTACATTTAAAACCGAAACATTAAATCTTCTTGTAAACGTCAAAGTATAAGTATTAATTTAATAAAGGTGTCGATACTTCTGAAAATTCGTAATTTCAACTTAACCGAAAACTTCCGATATTCCTTCTCGTCTTGTGAAGTGTGACTGGCCGTGAGCGGTGCTTTAGGCACAATCATTTCCTTGGCAAGCGACGGACTACAGATCAACAAAATAAAAGGAAATAATTTGAAAGGTAGCGAAGGGTAGCCGCTACTACAGGTTCTCCCTTTATTTCTTTTTTTCTTTTTCGATAATTTTCGCTTACTCTAGGCGGATTTTCCAAGTAAATTTAATTAAATATTGATAAATTCCGGACGTAACAAGAGTATATTTCCTCGCAGCATAGCATGCGCGATTTTTTGAAATACGAAAATTCTAGTCGTGAAACTCCTGCGTGCTTCTTCCCTCTGCAGCCTCATGCCTAAACACACAAAGTAAGCGCTGTGATTACTGCTAATCACTTATACTGCTGAATAAACAATGAATTATCTTTTTATTTTCTAATTTCTTCTTCGTTTTTGTAAATTTAAAAATCTACGCCACACGTTACATGCCTGTCTAAACCTGTCACTCGCTCTTTCTTTCTCGCCCTCTCTTTTTCTCTGTTTCTCTTTCCTTATTGCCAAAAATTTTCGGGCCTCTTCACCCGCTCGTCGACAAGTATTGGCAGTTAAAACAAAGAAGTTTATAATTA